TCCGAGCCTGGCATCTATGAATCTATGAACAATAGTGTGAGCCCAAATGTCACAGCCTTTGGGGGAAGCCCTGGGATCCCTCCTACCTCCAAAGGGACAATTCCCACCTGGTGGAAATGCTATCCAGGTTGTAGACCTATTGGTCTAGAGTGGTGGTTCTCAACCTTGTTTTCCGTGGACCACTTGAAAATTGCTGGGGGTCTTGGCGGACCACTTACACTTTTTTTTTTGTTCTTCAAATCAAAGCACACAACTCATATTTTAATATCAGTAGTCTTGCCTTTCTAATGGGATGGATTTGCCTATTTTTTTGAGCAAAGTTCTGGGAAGTCAGGTATAATGTTTGTCAGCTTTAGCCGTAGGTCACTGTTCTGTGGCCCACCTGAAAGGAGCTCATCCACAGGCCACAGTTTGAGAACCTCTGGTCTAGAGGAATCAGGACTTGCGGTAGAGGTGATATATTTTATTAGATCAACAAAATTTTTGCAAGCATCTGGGCGCAAACACCTTCCATCAAGCATCGGAGAAAAGATTGTAAAAGTTCTCCTGGGTAGAAATGAAAGGTCATATTTCATGGGAGATTTGAAGGTGGTAAAATCTCCTGTTTGGTAATCACACCTTTAACCTATTATGGAGAATGATTCTTTTCTCCACAACCATTTAGCCCTTTTATTTCCCCACCTAATGGCAGAACTATAGCTGATAGGAATTTGTATTGAAGCAGGAAGGCCAAACCAATTTAATAATAACAATAAAACAATCTACCTCTATCTGTGAAGCACACTTTACCTGTCTTGATGCTATCTTATTTATTATTCTGTATGTCTCTTGTTATGGACTTGCATAAATATGGAGGGAACATTCAGTTTAACTTTCTGTTGTACAAAAGTTAAAGGCAGGCTATAGAATAAGGAATTGGTAGCAATTAATAAGTTGTCAGAAAGAGAATGAACCACCTTGGTAGTGGGAAATTGGTAGTTAGGAAAAAATCATCTGCTTTTTCAAAAGGGAAGGAAATAATTTTCTTCCCTTACTGATCCCAAATATCCCAAAGCAGTTTACAGATTGTGATTGATTGGTCACTGCAATGCCACTGTGGTATAAGGAAGTATTATTAGTGCCAATTTACCAAGGAGAAAACTGAGGCACGGGGAACCTAAGCCAGAGTAAGGTCATGTAGAAAATCTCTATTGACAGAAAGCCTGAAATAAGGTCTCCTGACTCCCAGTTTGGAATATTAACCACCAGAACCAATTTTCTACCTCAATGTTTATATCCGTCTATACAGAAGTAGTCAGTATCCATGATTTCTAAGTAGGCAATAACATTCGAACTGATGGGCAATTATACTAGATACCTCCATAATTACAATGAAAATGATAGCATGCACCAAAGGCCAATTTTCTTCAGTACCAGTGAAAAATAGTTATCCAGCATAACTTTGAAACCTGCTCTTTCTGAGATTTATTGTTACAGCTGGCTAGTTGGTTTACACCATTATGTTGATTTCTACTTGCACCATCAAAAACTTTCCTAATCCACTCTGCTTTCCTTCTAAATATTTAATATTGCTATCATCGCAGTGTTTTGAAGTCATGGATGGATTTGGGGGACAGCGTTTGAGTCTGAATATTTGTATTGTAAACAGCTTGTATGCTGAGTTTTATTGCTGGCATTAGGTGTGTTCATTTTTTGAAAAACAGTAAATGACATATTGCTCCTCCTAAAAAGAACCATGGCAAACATTTCCTTTAGGAAATAATTTAAATCATTTAATTTTCCCCTTATTCTGTCCTTCCCTTAATTCTCCCATCAATAGTGTGTGGGAATAAAGAACAAGAAACACTGATTTCCTTACAGAAAATCTGCCCTGGGATCCAGTATGCCGAAGGACCTTAGCCCTTAAGGCACCAGCAGGAGAAACCCAGTGTTGTCTGCAGTCATCCATGCTTCTGTCATTTTCATCAGTTCTCTGATTTTTTGCCACTACCTGTGTTAGGTGTCTCTTCCCGATTTAGGGCTTGATTTGATCCAAAGTTCACTGAAGTCAGTGAAACTGCTCCTGTTGGCTTCAGTGGCCTCAAGATAAGACCTGCTGTCAGTAATGTAGCTTCTTTGGATCCTCACAGTCTCTGGTTACTGAAGCCAAACTGGGAGAGGAGATAATGGAATGCTATTTACAGCCCTATGAAGCTGCTTTACTGAAAACCTCAAGCCTGCCCTACCATTTAACAGAATGACCATAAAGGTTCCTTTACATGCACTTTGCATCTAGGTTTTCTGGAGTCCAGAGGACACAATTTATGTTGGAGATTCCAGTAGTCCTGCAGTTGGACCCTCAGGTTTCAGGATATATATAGGTCACTGGCAGAGAATGCAAAAACAACTTTCCTATGGTGGATTTATTTAAAAAATCTGTATGCTATGTAACATCTTGCATTGAAGTATCAAACAAGTTACTTTGGAAGGCAGGATGCTGGACTAGGTGAACTATTTGTTTTTGATCAGTTCTAAAATAAAAGCTCCTTATCCTTTTTTCCTCTCCACTAAGATTAAAGATATTTTTTCTCTCCTCCACTGAGGTGAAGGATTGTGACTGTCTTTAAATTGGATGGAGTAAGTGAGCAGGAGGAGCTAAAAATATGGTGCTTCAAAGTCTCCAAAGCGTCATTAGAAAAAAATGAGAAGCACAAAAAGAAAAGGGCAAGCACATTAGCACCGTCTCCAAGGTAAAATATAACGTCAAGGCTTCCACTTCTTACAAGAAACCAGGAAACTTGCTTGGATTATTTTTTAATTGCAAAACATAAATTATATATTTTTAAACACATGCATAAGAATGTTAACAATTTTTGTATACCTTAGTATTAGTAGCAAGCTTGTAGTTTAGTGCCAACATCCTGACCCTATTACCAGCAGACTCTCTACCCAACCAAATGTCAGATTTTTAGTTTTCACGGGGATAGAGGGGAAGAAGTGCATCGGGGAGACGGGATCTGGCAAGTGCCAAACATGACTTGTTACTTATTCTTTGGGGTAGTGAGTAATAAAGAATCAACAACACCTTTTGCCAGCTTCAGAGTTTAAGTAACAAACATGTGGACTCTGTCTATATACTCTCGTTCAAACTTCCAGTCTCCCATCCTTGATGAGAAGGACCTGGAAAATTGTTTTAGACCCACTCAGTACTTGATTGTATACACAGTATTTGATTGTACAGATATCCCTGTTCGGGGGCTGGGGGGGGTTCTTAAAGTTGTGTGCATGTCTGTGAAAAATGATGTGTATCTGGTGGTAGGCTGCAGGGAGTTGACACCGGAGTTGCCTGAATGGAGTCAAGAAGATGCCTCGGCTTCATTTAGTTGAAGCTGCTCTGTAGACATGGTGTCTCCAGGAGGGCCATTAATAATAAGAAGACAGAGAGGAGATTTTAAGCATCTAAAAGATCATCAAACAGGGTACAAATTATTCCTAATTCAAGGATCTGCTCTGGATGCTGACTTCTTGGTTAGATGTCTTTTCCTTCAGTCCTGGAAATTTGCTATAAACTATTTTCTTTGCAGATTCCAGGATGAGAAATCAGCTGCTTTTAAGAGCGCTTAAATGACAGCTGTTTTTTATTTGCCATTTTGGGCCCTCTCCAATGTAACGTGTGCATGCCAAACTCTAGTTGTGTTCAGTGGGAGTTGAGGGTATGAAGGCATAGAGGATTCAGGCCATAGTATTTTTTGCTTTGCCCCTTAGGGTGCTGGGGGAAAAGGTAGAATGTTGTGATATTTTCCTCTACATTTCTCATGAACCTTGAAAACAACCCCCTTCTCCCCTGCCACATGCACACTTACCTGCTATATTTTATCCTCAGTTGTGTTTTTGTATTTAGGAACTACTACAGAGAGTATGTGTTATGTCATTATCTCTTCTCAAGACTAGTCTGTCTTTACTTCGTCTTTGAGGTCCAGCAAATCCCATCCCAAGACCAGGTCTACACCATAGTTATGCTGACATAGCTATGTCTGTTAGGAGTATGCAAGTGTCACACCCCTCAACAACATGCTTAAACTGACAAAATTTGCCAAATTGGTACAATTTATATGGGCAAATGAGTCCTCAGGGGACACACTGTGTCTCTGGGGAAGTGGTCTAACTATCCTGGCAAGAGCTCTTTTGCCTGGTTTAAGCTGTGTCTCCACTAGAGGGCTTTGCCTGCATAGCTATACTGATACAGCTGTATCAGCAGACCCTTTGTCGGGTAAACTATCCCTCTGACGGCATTAGGAATTGCATGAGGTAGAAAAAAGAGTTTTGTCTGTAGTTCCACATCCTTTATAAACTTCTGTCACTGTAGTACACAATACAGGCATTTTCCTAGATAGAACCATTTACCTGAAGCTATGGGTGGTGGACAGTTGAAAACTGGCTCAGGACACACTAGTAGGTAATCTGGAAATTTGCTTTAGGATACAGAGAAGGACTTTGACATCCTAGGAGTTATATTTTCTAAGGCATTTCAGATAACTCTTGATTCACACTTCACAGAATACTTGCAAGTTTTGTAGCTTAATGCTTTTGAGTGAGAGGTTCTACATGTGGGGGTCATTTGAGCCCAGTTTTCTCTCCTTCCCAGGGCAGGGGGTCTGACTAGAAGATCTACAGGGTCCCTTCTGACCCTACATCTATGAATTTATGAATCTATGTGAACAGCAGGTGATAGTGCTTAAACAGTATGTATAAGAGTTTGTGAATGCACAACGAGAAGCCATATTTTGAAAATGTGATGCTTAATATCCAGGAAAAACAGAGGAGGATTTTGTCTGGAGGACTTTGACATCATAAATGGCACGGTGTGCCTTAATTCACCTTGCATTGGAAAAGAGAAGGACTGTGTCAGTCCTGCTGGGATTTATACCTGTGGTTCAAGGCAATCCAGCTATTCAAAATCTGTGGCTTCACTCACTAAGCCCCAGTCTCTCTGGTGAATGTTTTGCTCTATTTTTCTAAGAATGGATAGGGATAATGTAAAATTATTAGGAGAAGATCCATACATCTGTATGTGAAGACTACACTATTATTATTGCTTTTTGTTTGTATTTCTGGATTGGATTCATATAAAACGTTTAATTGTGCTATAAAATGTAAAATAGGCTGAGGACAGTGCCCTATTTCAATAGATTTATTATTATATTAACTCAGTGTATCTCAAGAGAATGGATTTCCTGAGCATGAAACATTTTCCTGGAAGTGGAGCATTCGTGGCATGTGTAGAACTGTGTGATGGAAATAGTTTTCCAAAATTTTCCTTGCTCATAAAAGAAAAAACTTAGATCTTCCCAGAAGAGAGAATCATGATGCATTAATTAGAGTAAAGGAAATTTAATATTTTTGCACTCTTGTCTTTTTTAGGAGCTAGTCAAAGAACTAAGCATGCTGTTAGTCTCACTCTCATGAAGTTTAACATGTATTACAGTCAAATTAAAAGGTTTTTTAAGGTTTTCTTGTAGTCGTAAGGCAAGGTTAGATTTAATTATAAGAATCCAAATTAATACATTTTAATATATCATAAATACAGTTTACCTTTCTAAAGTGTGTTTTAGAACAAATATATTCATGAAAATGTTAATGTAGAAACCAGAGTTAATATTTTGTACGAAATAAGGATCAAATTGAATTCTATTCCAGTAAATTCTGAACTGTGGTATGTTGGATGAGGGAGACTTAAAAAATTATAAGTGAAATTTAAAAAGCCTCATTGAAGCATATTACAAACTTCTTCATCACAAGAAGGAGGTAGCTTAAACAGCTTTTTATTAAAAAAAATGAATCTTAAAATCTCTGTACAAATAAATGAGGCTTGGCAGGTCTATGCATATACTGGACTTGTACAGTGTCTACAGAGTTTCTGCTGAGCTACTGAGATTCCTTTTTAAGGGCTTGGTGAGGTTAGGAAAAAGGGGTAAGCAACATGCAAATGGATATGGTGTTTATGTCTGCTTGAATATCTTTCAGTGAGGCAAATGTAGAGAAAGTCATGTTTTGTCTGTAATGGTGGTAGCCTGATTACCCCAGGTTAATCTTTTTTCTCCCCCTTGCCTCACAGGTTGTGACATGTGTGCTGATAACCGCAATGGTGAGTGCCCCATGCATGGGCCCCTTCACTCTCTGCGTCGTTTAGTGGGCACTAGTAGTGCTGCTGCAGCAGCACCTCCACCCGAGATCCCTGAGTGGCTCAGAGACCTGCCTCGGGAAGTGTGTCTGTGTACCAGCACTGTGCCTGGCCTGGCCTATGGCATCTGTGCTGCCCAGAGGATCCAACAGGGCACCTGGATTGGACCTTTCCAGGGAATCCTCCTCCTACCAGAGAAGGTTCAAGCAGGAGCCATCAGGAATACACAGCATCTCTGGGAAGTAAGTCATTTTCCTTCCATTCCTTAGAGAATGTAAGTTTTACAGTAATCAATCTCAAATATATATTGGATGCAGAGTTTGGTTCTATTGTATAGAATCATAGAACTCGTTTGATCCAAAAGTCCCTACCATGGAATTAAATATGTAGCCAGAAATATGTACCAGGAAGGCTTTTCCACACATTCTCCAAGTGAGGGGGCTACTGGCAACTTAGTAAGAGCCACAGAGATGCATTTAATTTGCATAAAAAAGAAACAGATTTCTGTAGACTCTCTCATCTTTAACATAGAGATCTTGTCTGAGAGGAATATGCACCCCAATATACAATGGTTTTTTTTCATTGTGATTGGAGCAGCTCTGGCTACTATTCTGTATGTATCTCATCATCCCAGTCTGAGTGGGACATACACAGATTCAGATGGTACAGTACATGCTAGACCCATCTCTGTGGTCGACTGCTAGTCAAACAATGAGGGTAAAGATGAAGGTGATCACCTTCTGCTTTGTAGAACTCTGGGCCACTTTTTGATGAGACACTGGGTGCATCTACACATTCTACACATTCATCTGGGTGCATCTACACATTCATCAATGCACCTTTGCTCCTGAGTTTGCACCTTTGCTCTCATTGAGTTTAGTACCTCTAATATGAGGTACTAGATAAAGATGCAGGAGCTGCACTAATACTCAGTAGCAAAGGTGAATTTTTTTTTTAAGAAATGCAATGTGCAGTAGACTAATTCTGCGCATTAGCACAGTTTTGCCGTGATGCACTAAGGCACATTAAGGCATCTTGTGTAGATGTGCCCACTGAGTTTTGGCCATCTCTTCAGTAGCAGGATGTTCAGCATTCTAGTTCAAAACTGACAAACAGAAAATTAAAATATAATTCTTTCTATGAGTCATCTTCTTAAAGAGAGGTGTACAATACTATTTGTTGGAAGGCAATAATAATCAGTACAAAGTCATTCAGGATTTGAAACTTGGGTTGTATTTTGATGGACATTGGCTTTAGCTTCCAGTCTAGTCAAGACATACAAAATCTATATTGTGCTCCTTTACCTTTAGCCATATAGGGGCAACTATAGTCACTGCTCTGCTACAAACCATAGGTTGCCACAATAATTTTAGAAGTTACTTTCAGAAATTTAAATGAAAAAAAAATGTCTGCAAGTTGAAAACTAGGATCTATATTGCAGTATGCAGGAAGCTATAATTTTACAACAGATGATAAATAATTATCTCCAGCAATATTTCATTAGTTAAGAAAACAGAAAATGTTTATTTTAGTGTTTAATAGTTAACAGATCATATGTGCCATCCTGCCACACCTATCATGTCTTAGTACTTCTTAAATTGTTTGTTAGAAAAGAAGGAATAGCATCCTGACCTCTCTGTCCTTTTATCATTCATTTCTCCTCTGTTGTGTTTTGCACTATGTCAGCCCTAATTCTGGAAGTTCTTTATGGGCAGAAATAAAAAAGAGCAGCATCTTAGGCTGTGCGTAGACAAAATGAGAGGTGTGTGTGCACGACACCTTAAAACAGGCTAAATGCTTTTGCACCTCTTTAATGGTGTTGGTGTTTGCACACCTTGATGGCATATTGCGCATTAATTCCAGCTGCTGCAGGAAGTTCAGTGGCGTAATGTGCCTTAAATGACTTGGGGCACAACAAACTAAAACTCCTTCTCCTTCAAGGAGTTTTTTAGTTTGCTGCCCCTACAGGCGCAGATTGAAGCATTGGGCTCTGTGCAGCTCCGCGGCTCTGCAGGAAGCCCTGCAGGCAGCCTGGCAGCAGCCCAGGAAAGCAGGCTTCACCCAAGAAAACAAGGGGAGCCTGATCTTTTTTTCCACCCCCCTGGAGCCTGCCTGCCTGAGCTGTGTGGGGACATAGTGCTTCGCTCCGTGGCTGTGGTGCCCCCTGGGACCACCCGAGCCGAGTGCCTGCAGGTGGGTGCCGCATGGGGGGTGCCACTGCCATGGAGGGAAGCACCAGCCCCCCAGCAGGCCAGGGACTGCTTCACTGGCTGGCAGCTTGCCCTCCCCTCCCCGCCAGAGAGGCAGGTAAGTCAGTGGGGTATGCGCACGACATGGGGGTTTAATCAGCCCTAAATTAAAGCAGTGTTTTTTACAACCAACTGCTTCAATTTAGGGCCCCTGTTTCGTCTACACATGCCCTTAAGAGTCTCAGTGGGATTGTGCCCCTAGTGTAGAAGAGAAGGAATTTGTCGTCTTGGTGGCTCTAACCCAGGGGCGGGCAATTATTTTGGGCAGAGGGCCGCTTACTGAGTTTTGGTAAGCCATCGAGGGCCGCATGACAGGCAGCCCAGGGCAGATAAATATAAATTTTCTAAAGTTTTTAGGGGCCCCGCGGGCCAGATAGAATGGCCTGGCGGGCCACACCAAGCCACCGGGCCACATTTTGCCTACCCATGCTCTAACCCCACACCTTAGCAACCACATTTTCATTATCATGTTAAACTTAGAAAAGTGTGTGCTACTTAGGAACTTGGTCTAAAGCCCACAGAAGAGAAGAGGGTCTTTTGTTAGCATTGTTGGGTCCTGCATCCGTCCCAAGTGTATTGCTATCATATGGATTTTTATTATGCATTATGGAGTCAAACCAGTAAGTATGTAGTAAGTAACATTCATTCACAGAAGACCTGGGTGGATAACATAAAGAGTAGACAAAAGAAGAATACTTAGTGCGGAAGCTCCTTGAAGAAGGTGCTGTTAGGGACCTACCCTGAAAAAGGTGTCCATGTTGGTAAAGTGCCGAATATGATTTGGTCCTTGATGTATTACATCGGTTCTAGGCATTACCCCTTATATCAAGGGCCTTTTCTTACACAAAACTGCTATTGAAGATAGTGAGATTTTCACATAGGCTAAGTACAGACAGTCAAAAAGCTTGAGGCTGAATCAAATCAATCTTCACAAGTTAGTCTAAGCTGTGTAGATTGAACTGATAAGCAAGTGAACACTTTTGATTCTGGAAATGTATCCGCATGCCTGCAGTGGCCCAGGCCAGAAGTGGGGGAGTGCTAACATATGCCTCCTTGATTGGCTGAAGCAGACAGCTTGGGCCAAGGCTAGCCTGCTAACCCTGCGAGTGAAGGTTTGTGGGGGAGGTGCAAAGCATCCTGGGATACTGGGGAACTGTGAGTTAACTTGAATCTGGAGGGGATCTGGGGCAGAAGTGTAATACACAAATTTAACCTAAATCAGTTAAGTCCATCCAGGTTTATCTTAAACTGGTTTTGGCCATTTTGAAAGTGGTTTATGTGCACAGAACTTCTGTTCTGTTATAGATTTGAACAGGTTTCCTACCACTTATACTGGTTTGTGGGTAATTTGTGTCCCTAGCTCTGTTGTGTTACAGATTTGATTACTTATGCTGGTTTATGTGTAATTTCTGTCCCATCCGTAAAGACTGTATGATCAGTTCTAACACTTGCCCTAATGCAGTGGGGGAAATCATGGCCCTGTTGAAGTCTATCAGAATTTTGTCATTGCTTTCGGTAGGGTCAGAATTTCACGTATTTTGTATAATACATATATAATATATTGGGCCTTATCCTATTTCTGCTTAAGTCAATTGACATTTTTCTATTGACTTAATGGGAGAAGTTTGAGGCACTGTGTTATAATTCATATATAAACCATGTACTCTAATGATGTAGTAGTACTTATTTCTGACATAGAGTTTTGTGGTTTAGTTTATCTTAAGTTGAATAATATGAAATTAAAAAAAATAATGGTCCAGATCCTCAGCTTGTTTAAATCATTAAAGTTCAGTTGAAGTCAATGAAGAAAAATGATTTTATATCAGGCCTGTATATGTTTATATAATTCATTTTGTCCAGTACTTTAATTTCTTAGTTAGATGTTAGTTACTTTTATGCAAGTTATAAATGTTAAAAATATTTTAGAAAGTGAACATTTTAGCTTGACTTTAAATTTACTTGAACATAGTTTGTTTTGAAAAGTCAGTTTTTTGTCCTTTGATAGACAATGGTGGGGAGGGAAGGGTGGGGGGAGAACAGAGAACTATCAAAAATACTGATTGAAAGAACTCAAGAATGTAGTACTCTTGAGTACTTAAAAATAGTGAGTTAAAACCACAAAGCAATGGTGGAAGTGAAAAGAATAGAGAGTGGAGAAAATATGTTAATGAAAAAATACTCACAGTATTTATGTATATACCCAATACAGGGGACTCAGGGATGCTTTCTGAGCATTGTGCTGTTTTTTTCTTGTATCCTTTGTGCACAGAAAAATGTTATGTATGTGCATGAATTTTGGGTATGATATTTTTTAAAAGAAAAAATAGGCGTAATCAGGGAGAGGGGAGGTTTATGAACTCCAACTCTTCATCAGTACAAAAAAAATGCCAAGGATCATAAAGCCTCCACAAATTTGGACATTTTTTATTTATTTTGATCCTCAAATTAGTAAATCATAATCTAACTACTGGTATTTATAAGCAACACATATGGGAAAGGCAGGTTATAAGGAAGGGCTTTTGGGTTTACAATGTTATTTCTGAGAATAAATTAAAATGTATTTGAATATTCTGGATTCTGTCAGTGTAACTAACAAATATTTTGACTAATTCAAATAATAAAAAGTAAAGGAATGGATTATTGTTGTCCCTTTATAAATTTCAAATGTAGTTAATTCCCTTCCACTTATCTTTTTATGTCAGTTACAAATATAAAAATGTCTACAGATTAGTAATTTGGCATTAAAGTCCTGATGGATCGTATAGTGGTGACTTATCTTTTTTTGGTACCATAAATAGATTTCTAATATTTTTCTCTCAGCATTGCAAAGTTAAGTTGATGGATTTGTGTTTCATTATAGAGCTCTTTGTTTGCAGTGTGTGCTAAAACATTGAAAGACTATTGAAAGACAATTAAGCACAGATACTGATTTGGTGCCTTTTTATTTCTTTTGTTGTGGCAAACATCAAATCATTGCATTTGATGTACAGTTC